AAAGAGAAAGAGGGAGAGCTGGCTACAGTGCTGTATGGCTAATCTACTTTATGTTAATTTAGCATAACTGATGTTCAGAGCTTCGCTGCTAGTTTAACAGGGAAAGCATGTCTCTGAGCTCCTCTAACATCGTTAAACTGTTAATGTATATACTGCTCCTCTACTCTTACAGTGGTAAGCTGTTCATTTAACATAAACACTGTTCCGCTACGCTGCTAAGTTAACAGTGTCAATGCTTTAAAGCTTGCAGCTGCATAAACAATAGCTGGTGTGAGCAAGTGAAGGGGGGAGGGTGAGCTGCGTGGCTGCAAAAACAAACACATTCTGATAACAGTTAAATTTCAGTGCAACTTTAGACGTCAGTTTTTTTTCACGCCGCATTGACAACTGACACAAGGTAAACAGCCAGCGACAAAGCTGACGACTTGTTGCTGCTGCGCAGCGTCTTTTGCTGTCGACGTCAACGTCAACGTCACTGCCGTTGCTATCTGCTTTTGTTTTTGATTTCATTTGGGGCGTCGATTCGCGTCGTTAAATTGTTTTGCTTTAGTGCAGGGCATGCTTTTTTTACCTTTTCCATATTGCTTTATGACACACAGACAGCGTCGCCGCCGCCGTAGCTGATAAGACTTTGACTGGAAAGTGCTGAGGCAGCGGTAAAATAAATATGATATGCAAGGAGTCGAATTGCGAAAGACCGAGAGATAGATATCGATACCTGCTGCCTTGCTCACAACTTGACACGTTGAAGTCGCGGCGCTGAATAAGCTGAGTCGGCAGAGTGTTTTTGGATGAGTGAGCGAGAACGAGAGGGAGAGAGTTACGAATTAATCACTGCAGATCACGCGCGCGGTCTCTTCCTCTCCCATTCCCTCTCGCTTTCTGTTATTAATTACATTTTTTCTTATGTCTGCTGCGCTGACACATAAGAAATTTGGCCAAAGTGCGAGTGAGTCAGCGAATTGAAGAATTTGTTTGGATTAGGTTTATCGCACTGTACGATGCGATAAATCCAAAGATAAAACTATGAATATTGGTATGCAGTCGGAACGGAGTCTACAGCTCTGCTCTATCAAGTTTTGGTTGAATGTGTGCACTATAAGTGGGATTAGATAGGGTATATGTCATCTTAATATAAAAACAGTAAGATAGAACACTAAAAATACCTTTCTTCGAATTATTATGATATGATTTGGGTCAGAAATGGCTTGGTCTCTTTCGAAATTTTCTTATCTTGACTACAACATAAAACTGTTGGGGCCATACTATACAAAATTCCAGTCACATAAGTTAAGTAATTGTTGAGCTATCGATAGGTCGATGCATGTCTATGTGCGCACCGTTATGCAATTAGCCAGCATATCTATAAATAGCCATAGCAAATGCGCTGCTCATAAATTTCTACCAATGCAGCAATATCGAAATAGTTGCGACATCCAACGTTGATAACGATTCGACTCAATTACTAGCAACAGGAGTAGACTGAGAGAGAGCGAGAGCGTGAGAGATAGGTAGACGAGGGGACGGAGGGAGAGTGCGGGACAGTCAGGGAGTAAAGGGTGCAGACAGCTGGCAGACGACGCCGTCGCCCGCTCTAGATGCACTTAAGTTTTCTTCCAGTCAGTCTCTCTATGCTGGGGGGTTGAATGCGCTCGGAAGTCGTGGCATAAGGCACACATCAATGCCAGCCAAGGGGTGGGGGCAACAACAGCTATTATATGAACTAACAAACATGCAATTGAGCAATTGAATTGTGAGCGAGCACAGCAAGGCAGAGAGAGGGCGCCCAGTAGAGCGTGAGTGTGAGCAGGATGGCCAGCTGCTCGAGCCAAAGGCAGCTGCGACATTTTTAGCTGAGTTTTCGGTTTGAGTTTCCTGGATAATTACAGCAAACGTTAGTGACATTTCGCTGTATGTGTGTGTCTGTGTGTGTGTACCTTTAGCTAAATCCTTTGTGCGCTTGGATTTCAACTGCGCTGCTGCTGCTGTCACAAATTTGCAGCGACTGCAGCAGCAGCAGCTGAGTTTATGTTTATTGCCAACTACTGAAACACTCGCAGAAAAAAATCAAGATTTCTTTTGCAGTAGGTAAATCAAAGGTAGAATCAAGAGAGCTAGAAATTCTTGTTTCCAGAAACGTTTTCAATAGGCAAAAAATGTTTTAAAATGAAGCTTAAGGAGAAGCAGTTGAACAAATAAAGAAGAAGAAGCAGAAAGCTTAGAAATAATTATTTTTTTTTAAATAATCATAATAATATATATTTATGTTTCTTAATTTAATGTTGACTTTGTATTTTATATTTATAAAAATAAAATGAATATAAAATATAAAGTACTTAAATTAAGAAACATTAAGATTTTATTAATATTATTACACTTTTATATTATTTTTTATATTAATGATTTTTAAAAATAAAATAAATGCTAAACATTTTAATATTTTTCTAAAACTTTCTGAGTAACATTTTCTAAGGAAAATTTCGAATTCTGTTCCAGAATTTTGGAACTGTGAACTGAGTTTTTCTTCAAGTGACGGCAGATGCACTCGCAGTTGCTGCTGCTGCTGTTTTTGTTGTTGTTTTTGTTGAAGTCTAAATTTCGTTAACGTGACAAAAATACATTGATTACATTTTTTACATGGCGCCATGAGAGTAAGCGAGAGCGAAACAGAGGAGGAAGAAGGAAAGGGGAAAGGCGCAAGCAGAAGACGCACGAGCCGCGGCTCGAGCGCTGCTCACGTCTGCACACTTGGCACATTTGTCTCCTGCTCACTAGCTCCCTCCCTCTCCAATTCATGCCATCTCTGTCTCAGTGTAAACAGCTCGAGCAAAATATGCACGTAGAATCCTGTGTGCATCCTGTATGTGTGCTCTCCCTTTCTTGTTGTTGTTGTTTCGCCTACGTGCAGAGGTCTTTGAACTGACAAATTATATTGCTCGTCGAAACGAAATTCCTTTCACCGTGTGCACTCTGAACTTTCTTTATGTGCCCTCTGTCTTCCCCTTTACACACACACACATATATATGTGTGTGCAAGTATGTGTCTGTGCTCTGTACGATTTTCTTCTTTGTAAATAGTTCGACATTCTTGTAGCAAAGTTTATTTTCCTTGCAACAACAACAATAACAATAATTGATATACCCTATATCATTGCTAGTTGGGGAGTATGTACAGAGTCAGCTTACAGTGAAGTACTTCAAAAACAACTAAACAACAGAAGCTTAGCTGTTATACAAATATACAAATATAGCTGTTATATAAAGGAAATAGAGGCATACGTTATTCAATATTTTTAATTTGTGCACGAAAAAAGAAAGTATTGTGCAAATGCAATCAAACTCTCATAACAGAAAAAATTGGAATACAAAACTGTTATACAAAATAAACAAAAACTGATATAAAGAACCTATACAGCTGTAAGCAAAATAACTAAAACTTGTATACAAACCAATTAGGTCTGTTATATAAAAGCCATTAAACTGTTATACAAAATAAATAAAACGGTTATACGTAAGGAAAACATTAACAATTCAACAGTAGAAGTAAATCTTCAATTGCTTCAATTTACAGGATATGTTAACGTCTGTCACGTTCATACTTAATTATTTTCACTTGTTTTCAATTTTAATTTGCTTACCCACACGCGCTTGCACTCCTATATACATATGTCTCGGTGATTACTTCACCCATGCCATCACTACTCCCTACGCCCAGCCCTCACACTTCTCTCTTACTCTTGCATATTGCTTTTTAACTACTTTCACGCACTCGCGCTTGGCAACGGCACTCGAGAACGCGCGTGCATTGCTTTCCTGCTGGAAATTGTTATAAGATTGGCAAAATTGCTGTACAATTCAGGAGTGGGTGGTTTTAATTGTTTGCGGCTATCAGGTGGGCGGTACAAATACCCATTTATTGCGAATGTTTCAATTGTTTAATTGTTGTCGAAAACTTTTTCAGTGGGCCAATTGAAGAGTTGACTTTATGTCACTCAATGGAATGAAAGTAGATCTATGAACAAATAGGTATATACATATATAAACTATATCTTATTGATTGATCAGCTACCTCAATGTTTACACAACAACGCTGACCATAAACAGACTACGAAATCTAATCGGTAATACTGACATACAAAGTGCCATTTACTTATCAATAAGCAGATATTTCACAACGGAAATGCCTCAAGAAATAAACTGTTAACTGCTCAAGCTCACCTCGCAGCCCGCTCAATTAACGTGTTCGCCGTGCTATGCAAATGACACAACCCAAAAAGTAAGCGCCAAAATTATATAGTTTTTTGCATCAAGAAGAACACCTAAAGCAGAACAGAAGAATAACAAAAGGCAACAAAAACAACAGCAGCAATAAAATCTCGGCAGCTGAGCGGTGTAATGAATGGAATGCCGCGCATGCCTGTTAAGAGCAAGAGCGAGCAGAGCAGCATAAGTCAGATCACACCTCTCACACTCGCACGCGCACGCATGCTCTCTTTGTTCCGCTCTCTCTCAGCACATTTGCTACCGGTTCGCATAGCGCACAGCTGTGCTATACGTCACGGCAGAGCGTGTGATAAGCAAGAAAAGAGAAGAAGCAGCAGCAGCAGCAGCAGAAACCACCACGAACAACTACAACAAGCAATGAGGCGAACAATACGCTGCATTATGCGAAACTTGTGTACAATATGATTAAGCAAACAACAACAACAATGACGAAGACTGGGCGCAGCAAACAGCAGCTGCTTGGGCCGATAGCTCGTGTGCTGCGGTCTCAGGTAAAGCAAAACGAGCACGCTCTCTCTCTCTCTCCGAAGTGCCCCACACAGTCATTCAAGCGCTTTGCCTTTCGAACACCCTCAGCGGCTTACGCACAGACAGAACTGCCTCAGACGCTCTCTCTCACTACACTCTCTCTCTCTCTTCCTCTGTCGCTTTGTCTGCTTCAGCGTCTTACGCTCTTTCAAACGGCAGCGCTACGTTTACTGCGCCGCATTCGTCATTCGGTCGCAATCGTTCGAACAACGCAGACGCAAAGGTCGCGATCGTCGCGTTTCATGCAAAGCGCTTTTTTACGTCTTTTCGTGTTTGTGTTTTGTTCGCTATAAACTGTTTACCGTTGTGCAGTGTAAAACTATTTACAACACCATATTTGTGGGTGTCTATCACCCCCACCCACTTCTCACACACTTGTTTTGGTTGTGCTTTGTGTACCATATTCGTATGACACGTGCTTCACATACGGATTCTCCTACTATCAGCATTCAATATAAGAAATAATTGGGATTACCTCGACTTTTGTTTATCAATACAACGACAACCACAACAGCAATAATAACGGTAAGTTGACCATAAAGTGCCAAATGCAGTGAAGACTTGCTTTAAAGAACAACAAAGTTGAAAAGCGAAAACATTTTAAAGCTTTTTCAATATTCATTATTTTTATGAAACCTTAAAAATTGCTTTTAGCAATAGTAAAATCATTTTTCTTAAAATTCGCTAAATTTATAATGCTGTTATTTATCAGATCGTTTACTTTATTCTTCACTGTATTCTTCAAGTACAGTAAATAATTGTTTTAATGTACATACCTAATTATAAGAAGATATAGTTTAAGCACACCTTTTTACAATTATAAAATTTTCTTTCTCAACTCAACTGACTGCCACCGCAGTGTTCACTGTAGTGGCATAGTACAGTAAAGACTTATTTATCCAAATATATATTTTTCAGCATAAATATCTTTTACTTCTCCCATTGCACTCACTTTTAATGGTCCTCCACTGTCGTTTATCAGTGAGTTCACTGTACCTAGGTCATTACTATGCTCGTACTCATAATAAGTTTATGCGCTTGCCTGATCCCAATAAGCAAGTGCGCTCTATTAATATTTATCCAGCTTATCAATAACAATATATAAACAAACGTCATTAACCTTCCATACGAACGCCCCTGATTAAAAGGCCAAACCCCGCCCCCCGAACACCCGACCACTCCGCCCCCTGGTGACTGTAATTGCTCGTATGTCGTATGTCAGCTTTATTATGCTGAGGAGTCAACGACGTCACGCCCAGCGCCCAGCGCCCAGCGCCCACTTTTTATGAGTCAGGAATTCCGTTGGCTTGTCTTTTATCTTAAAGTTCTCTCTCGCTCTCTGTGTAGATCCCAATGAGTCAGCGGCAGCTCAGGGAAACAACGTGACAGCCCGACAAAGATGTATACCTATATAAAGTTGTTTATATAAATATATATATATATATATATATTCACAAAGATCTTTCAGTAATTGACATTTTATTTGGATCTATAGAAAAGTTGACTAAGCCAATGGCTTCAAATGGGAATTACTTTTTATGGAGCTGTTTGTGAAATGAGGAAGCTTTAATAGCAAATGAAATAGCTCTATGAGCAGTGAATGCATGAATGACATATTGATAGACGCATAGATACTGTGTAAAAGCATAGAAGAGCGCTACTCAGACTGTAAGTGCATTTAACTTTGTTTAAATTGAGTTGAGTTGGGAGTTTGAGTTTATGTTACGAGCTGTAGCTTCTGGGTTTTGGAACTACATTTCCATTTTGAGCTCAGTTTGAAACGGAAATTCCTTAACTTTAGCAAATCTTAAGCTATCTATATCATAAATTATGTTTTCAGCTCTGCTTTCATCTCTCTGAGTCTTGAGATCTGTTCATAGTTTTCTATAGACTCTCGTTATAGGGTATTTCTTGCCTAACAAATGTCAAACTTCCATTAACTGTGTCATAATATTTCGCGCATCTTTCAAAATTTTAATTAATATTTGACAAACGCCGTCAAATTTATTTACCTTTTTTACTATATTTTTAATACATATTGACCATATCGTATATTGTATATCGTATATCGTATATGCATATTCCATATCGTAAACTTAAATTGCATAACTTTGCCAAAAGCTGAAAAGATTTTTATGACATTTACATTTAAATTTTTTGTTTATGTTTTGAGCTCTATTTTGATATGTTTTAAACAATTTCAGATCAACTATCTCTCTTTATACCCCCTCTCTCGCTCACTCTGCTTGAATTTATAACGTGCTCGAAAAGTCCAATAAGAATGCCAATTAGAATCAATTTCGTAGTCAAGTCTTAAACAATTATTTGTAATTTCAATTATTTTTAATTGCAATTTGTAAACAATTTGTTAACATTTGTATTTGTTGACTTGCTGATTATAGGCATGTGGCATGTGGCATGTGGCATGCGGCATGTGGCCTGTACCACACACGACTTTCACACTGACTACTGTTAAAGAGCAGCCATTAGAGCAAATGCAAAAGCTGAAGCTGAAGCTGCTGCTAATGCTCTAGCTTTTTGCTGTTTGCTTGCCATAAGTCAGGGCGTTATTTGCTGTGGAGCTGATCACAAGGCGGCGGCGGCGGCGGCGGTGGCATGCCACAAAGAACTTGGCGATGGCAGCAAACGAGTCTGCGACTCACTCAAGTTACAAGTCAAGTCGAGGCGCAAGATCTGAGCCGATCCGATTAGATATCGATGACAATGGTGTCGCGAGCATTAGCTACCGTTAGATCGGCGCTCTATAAAGCGGAATGTGTAATTAGAATGCGAATTAAATGCTATTTCCAATGAAAATAAACAGTGGAGAGAGAGAGAGCCAGGGGGGGAGGGCTTATATATCGGCTTTGTGGCCTTAACATTTGGCCAACTACTCATAACTAACTCGAACATTGGCCTCAACAATTGTCAATTGGCAATTGTCAATTGTGAATGGGCTCGCATTACAATTCAACTGTTTGCAGTGTTGAGTAATGCGCTTTGAGCGTGGCTCTGTTCGGTGTTTGTTTGCGCCATAAATAAAAGAAAACAAAGAATTCTATTTAATGTGCATTTGGCAATTTGTTTATTGTTCGCTGTAATTCGATTTGCAGTTGAATATTGATTTTGTAATACTTTGCCCAAATCAGATTCCATGGGTTAAGTGTTGGAAAATGACGCTCACGAGCTTCTTATGACTGCATATGGAATTGAAGCCTTCAGGACTAAACAACTTTATTTAAAGATTTACTACAAATTTCTACAAAATATTTACATTCAATGAGGGAAAAACCTTGGAAAGAAAAGTCTTCTTTTAGAACAGTCTTTCATACTCTATATCAATGCCTTTTAGATAGATGCTTAGATTCTATGAAGACTAAAGTAAATATTTCCTATATATAATATGGTTATCTATGTCATGTGCCATATGAGAGCGTATTCCAGCCACTCTTCACTCTTCTATGTCCAAATACTTTCATATAAAATTGATATCGAAATACTTTTGCTATTAAAACAATGCTATTATATATATATCTACATAATACAAGTATAATACTTGGGGGTTCACTCAGGTCAAGCATTTGACTTGATTTTTGTCCAGCCTCCGCCCACGCCCACGCGCACGCCCTTTGTCCATTTAACATAATTGCGCAATTATTTAAAAACTGATTTATTTTTTAATTGTTTGTCACTTGAATGACAACAATTAATTATGCAATGCAAAAGCGAAAAAATGAATTAATAAATAAAAGAACATTTCGCAATTATATAAATATTTCGCATTATATAATCAGCGCAACAGCTGGCAAAGAGAGACCGACAGAGGAGATAGAGAGAGAGAGGGAGAAATAAGTGTTATGAATAGGGGCTTCGGCCCCTGTTTTAATCATAATTATTATAATAATAATAATAAGCGCAGCAAACGGAACAAACAAATGGGAAATGCTTAACACAGCGATTAAAATTTATTGCGCTTATTTTGCATTTATTCGAATTTCATTTATTTTCCTTGATGCTTTTTTATCACATATACCCTGTGTGTGCGTGTAGAGGGTAGATGGGTTTTGCCATAGCTAGAAGCAGCCATGGTTGACTCCATATGGTGTTAGTCTATCTGTACCTCTGGCTGTACCTCTGGCTGTACCTCACTCTGTACCTCTGTCTGTACTTCAATCTGTACCTCACTCTGTACCTTTGCCTATCTATACCTTTGTCTTTGTACATCTGTCCGTCTGTCTGTCCGTCTGTCTGTCCGTCTGTCTGTCTGTCTCTGTCTTTCTGTCGGTACCTTTATCTTTCTGTACCTTTTTCTCTCTATCCCCTAGGCTATCTATGCCTGTCTACCAATCCCCATGTATAACTGCATCAATCTGTCTAAGTATAATATGGATACGTGCAAGAAGTTTGCTATCGATACTTATCGATTTTATGGCAAGGCACAAAGTTTTTGATTATGCAAAGCAAATGTGAGTTGTAGGATCTATATATATATATATATATATAAAATCGATAAGTATCGATAGCAAACTTCTTGCACTTATCCATATTTGCCGTTCATTTACTCCAGTGCAAGAAGTTTGTAATCGATTCTTATCGATTTCACGGCAAGTCACGTCGTTTTCGATTCGATTTGAACACTTTCGATCTATATACCCCTGAAATATGCCCAAATTATACGCCTATTCATGCCATTCAGCTCTTCGGTGCACTCATTACAGGGTATTTCCTAGTTCCGCACTGCCAGCTCGCGCGCCTCCTTTTTTATCATTTTGCCACTTAATGTCAAAACTATTAAAAAGTTGTTTGCGGATTCATAATTGAAGTGTCGATTAATTAAGTAAATCCGAGCCGAACTACCGCAAAAACCCGATTGGCGCCTGCCGCTATCAATAAAGACTTTAATTTAAATAAATGACTTGACTAACAAATGGGCTGAGCAGTGATTGTCCAAGCGTTACGCTAAGTACCTCAATAGCAATACATTTATTCGATATTTATCGATATTTATCGATATTTATCGATATCTATAATAGCTAATAGTTAACTAAACTTTGTTTCAAGTTCAATCAGAAAACTGAGCTCTGATCTTGATTCAGCATCTGTATTCCTTATGTGCCTAGGGTTTGTATTACTAAACAAATTCAGAGAGTAATTAATGTCTCTCTCTATCTCTTCACTCTCTTCTCCTAGCTCCCACTTTCTCTCTCTCTCTCTCTCTCAGATTATAAACTGGAATATTCTGTTAACGCTTCGGCTTTAATTCCATGTAATACTTTCATTCAAAGAACTTGTTAATAAAATTCATTATGAAATATATATGCACGAATATCTATTCATATATCTATAAAATCATATTTATATTCATTTGGGTAATTAAACGGGTAAAGCTTTTGTTATCAGTCAGATAGGAAGAGACGAAGAAAGTATAAAAAAAATCAAGAAAAAATGTATTTTTGGTCTGCCGCCTCGATTGTGTATTGGTATTGTGCGTGTTTGGCTTATAAGAAAATGCCGTTAACTGTGGCGGCTGTTGACAACGCGCTGTGCATAAATTATGAGATATTATACTCTATAAAAGTTTTTAAATATAGAATACATAAATGGTTAAAGAGGCTTTAGTGGCTTTATGAGAAGGTCAGGTGCAAAGGCTTGAAGGAAGCCAATCAAAAGGTGCAAGGCAATGGAAGTGGGAAGTGGCAAGTGGCAAGTGGCAAGTGGAATTTCCAAACAGAGCTGAAAATCATACGCAGAAGGAAGAAGTTTCACCTTAAGCATTTTCCATTTCCAACAGTCTCTGTATATATGAAAAGAGTATTTTCTAGCTCTACTTGTTTAGCTTGTCATCAATCATGATTGACTGACTGATTGACAAATCTTAGATCGAATTCAGAAAAGAAACCCAATTATGTTTTCTAGCTTTGGCGATTTAACCTTGGCGCACACCATCAGTCAGTCATCATCAATCAGCCATCAATCATCAGTCCATCAATCAGCATACATCATAAAATTTGCATATATATAAATAAGAGAGAGCTAATGCAAAAAGCGTAGCTTTCTAGCTGCTCTTGTAAGACCTAAACATTCTAGCTCAATCAGATTGATTGAATGATTGAAGAAATTAAATTTTAAAAACTCACTTTATATAGCAAAAGAGACGACTACCATTTCAATAAGCGCATGCTAGCTCTGCTAATTCATCTGTAGCATTAATTCTCAATCACGTATAATGACTGATTGATTGATTGATTGACAAAATGGCAGTCTTCACATAGCAGAGCTCTCTCTATTATTAAATGTAGTAAATATAGTACTGAAAGAGTAATAGAGCTCAAAATATAGACTGCTATGTCATACAATTCGAGCTGTCAATCATACTGATTGACTGATTGAAGAAATGAATTGTCGAAGTCATACAAAACTTATATATTAAGCTTAAAGCTGCCTTTGATTCAAGCATTCAATCTGTCAATCAATCAATCAAATATCAATTTTTCTGGCCAAAAGTTCAACAAAAAAAAAAAAAAAAACCTCTACTCAAATAACCCTTTAGTAACGCCCCATCCAATGCATTTACAGGGTATTCTCTGAATCGTCTTTGAGTCACATATTTGATTGATTTGCATTTCGATAAAGCGCAATTAATGAGTCTCCCCTCATCAGGCAGCTATCGAGAATGCCAGCTATGGCAAATGATACTCGACACATGTCGATGATAGCAGGAAAACCTGTTTGGGTGGCAGGGGGAGAGGGAGGGGCAGAGGCAGGGGGAGAGGTATAGGGTCTTTGCCTAACAGCAAACAACTTTATTAGTTTTAGCTGAATTTGCATATGAATCTGATTTGTCGACACATTTTGCGCTAATTAAACAAAAGCAGGCGAACAAGAAGAAGAAGAAGCATTTTCTTTAATTATTTAATTAGTAAAACAACCCCAGAAGAGCGCCTAGCCTCTCTGCGCTCACCTACTCTGCGCTCTCCTGGCAGTATAATAACTATGAGGCGCCTACCGCCCACCCCCTGCTTGCTCCACCCTTGTGACAACTGTAAAATTGACAGCTCAGCGAATCGGAATGTGCATAAATTTTCGTACGCTTTTTAACACTGGCCTCAGCCGCTGGACATTTGTAATGAGCATTTTCATGTGATTATTATCATTTTTTTCTTCTCGTTATTTTTTTTTGTATTTTGTATTTTTAATGAGCCGCCATTTAAAAAAATTACTCATCACTGGTCACGAAATAATATCGATTCTCATTTTGTGGTTTTTTTAATCAATTGTAATTTACTTTGTTGCTGCTGTCGCCGCTGCTGCCGGCGCTGCTGCTAATGAGGCGCATTAAATTGTAGCTGTAAATAGAAGCAGAAGAAAAGTGTGGGCGGGTCATTTGGTTTTGCTTGGCTGGCTTCGGTGCACACTTTGTGGCCAGCCCTAATCTAATTAGCTAAGCCGCAGCAGCTAATGCTAACTGTGCATATAACTTAATTAGCTTTACTTTTCGAAATAGGAGGAAAATTTGTAACGTATTAAAATAGATATCGATAGGCTCGGTTTGATCGTTGTTCGTCAACGACAGCTAGATGGCGCTAGCGGTTGTAGCTGTAGAGCAACACTGTTGTTCGATAGCTTGCTGTCGCAGGCCACACAACGGCAGATAGCTAGCTGCACTGCTCTAACGCACAAGTGAACTGCGGCTTGTCGGTGCGCACGTTCATTCTGCCAAGTTGACTCACACTGCGCGTACGACTTGGCCAGCTGTGCGGTCGCGCTGCTACACCAAAAGAAAAAAAGGAAATTGAAATTATACAAAATAAAATTAAGAGATTCCATTTTGTTTTTTGAGTTTATGTAAATCGTGTGCCTACAAAAAAATAGTAAGTTGTTGCTGTGTAGTTGCGCGCGAGTGTAGTCGTGAGTGTTGCTTCTATTATTTCACTAGGGGCTCCGATTTTCGGGGTCGTAGTCATGCGGCTCTGCCGCAGTCGCTGCGAAGCATAAAAGAAATTTGCTGTTTGCCGCTGCGCCGACGTCATCAGGCACATACACACATACAGGCACTCATTGAAATTGTTGTTGGATTTGTAAATTATGAAAGCAATTTATCAACTGGAAATCGAAAAGCAACAAACAGCGAAGCTGCAGCAAGAACAGCGCCAACTACAACAACAGCAAAACGAAACGACTGAAACATAAGAGAAAAAAGCAAAAGCAAAACGCTCATTGATCGTGCAGGCAGGCAACAACAAAAGAAGAAGCAGCAACGGCAGCAACGGCAGCAGCGCAGTAGCTGAAATCATTTGTGCGAAACAGAGTGAAGGAAAATTGAAGAATTCGCAGCGCTCAGCCAACAGAGCTGGAGTGCTAGACGAGACCACTTCCCAACAACAACAACAACACGAGCAGCAACAACGGCGACGACTTGTTGCTTATTCACACACTCACACACGCACCCAAATAGACGCTATTAAGCGCTTGCATATAAACATACATATATCTGCGCTGTATTGTTGTTGTTTGTGTGTGTGTATGCATGCGCATGTGTATGCGTGTGACCTTTGGCGGCGTTTCCCCTCGAGCATTTGTATGTGTAAGTACGCTAATAAATTTTTTCAAATGGCAAAAAAAAGAAGGCAACAAAACTATAAGGCAACGCGTTTAATTGCAAACTCATAAGCTCATCAACAATAAATGCAAACCAATTACAAAATACAATGTTGAATCTTGGCAGACAAACACACACACAGACGACTGTTAAATGGCACTGTTAAGCGCGCTGTTAACAGCAGCTATAACAACAGCTTACATATGTATTCCCTCTGAACTTTAATTAAAATACTGTTAAGTATTACTTAACAGTTGTTCGAGTGTTTCTGATAAGATTAAATACATAAAATGAGTTAACGCCCACACTTTGGCATTCAGCAAATCCACACACGATATATAGTATTATATATATAGAATATATATTTATCTACATATATTCATTCAGAACAAAATGAAATAAATATAGTATAGATAAATTTTCCGCTTATATACATAATTCCGCATACGGCGCGTATCCGAGTTTAAAAATAAATATAATAAATGAACATTTATTTTCGTATATTTTTGCTTTCCATTTCTAAATAACACGAAAACAGAAACAATTAAAATTCCATTGGATCAACAGTTGGCGTTACAAACTTAATGCCAAACAGCAGTAACAGGCAATACAGTTTGACATGCACTGTGCTACGTCTTGTTGCGCTGTGTGCGTGCGATAAAAGTGTTTGCAATTGTTCCTCTTGTTGTTGCACATTGTGTAAACAAAGATAAGCAGCGTATTAAGTGTTGTTTGTATATGTGTGTGCGTGTGTGCTTCTGCGTGCGTATGTGTCCGTGTATATGGGTGGGTTTACGCCGCTGACTAAGCCAAGCGCTAAATAAATCCCAAGCAATGGCAGCCAAAAGCCACAAAAGAGAGAGCGAGATAGACAGAGAGAGAGAGCGGTGTTCAGCATTGTGAAGAGTGCAAGTGGAGAGAGCGGAAAATACGCTCGCGCTCGCTTAACAATTTAATCAAAATTGAATGCAGCTTTGTGCGTTCAACTGATTTTATTTATTAATTTAGAAAACTGAGCACGTAAGCACTAGAGACGAAAGCAGCGGCATAAAAATGAAATGAACACATCAAAAATAAAGTAAATAGAAAAATTATACATACAATAAAAACAATTAAAAATACTATTAAAAGCAATAAATATCAATAAAGAAAAAATATTAAGAAATATATGTATATACATATGTATAAAAATTAAATAATTTATTAAATAATATATATGAAACAATTAAATATTTTCATATACAAATTTAAGTAATTATTAAAATACTACTAAAATTATTCATGAAAATAATTAAACGAGAAATTCATTAAAAAATTATTAAAGCGAATTTATTAATAAACTAAATTTTAAATGTCAAAAATTAAAAAAAATGCTATTAAATATTTGCAAATTCTAAAACTAAAAATAACTTTTAAAATAAATAATTTTAAATAACAAATTAAAAAATATTGACATATATAACACAAAGAAAAAACTTTTAAAACTCTTAATAAAAATATAAATATTGAACATTAAAAAAAAACCTTGTTTCTTACACATATTTTATGCTTGACCTTGCTTTGTTTATATTGTGCATCATATTGAGTGTGCACTGTAATTGGGTTTTATTGTGCCATTACGAACGTGACATATTATATATTTCTGTGCACATTACCCGCAAGCCAGCTTAATCATCCACACACACACACACGCGCGCTTGCTTTTCGAACAGTTTGAGAGCCACTTGCCATTTTTTTGCCATTTGTTAGCTGTTTCGCTTCGCCGTTCCCCTTTCGCTAATCAAACTCGAATTTGCAGCAATATGGAGACAGAAATACAGCTGGAACTGCAGTCCCTTGATAGAAAGGAACAGCACGAGGAGCAAACCGAACAGCAGCAGCCGCTGCTTGCAACAACAACAACAACAACAACAACAAGCAAGAACAACAATAGCAATGGAAATGGAAATGGAGCAGAGCTTGGTATCAGCTCTGGTTCGGGCAACTCCATCAATGAGGCCACATCGAGTCAAGCGCTGCCCGCCATCTCACCAGCCACGCCCCCTGCGAGCACATCCCGACAGCTGTTCAGGGAGGCAGCCGCTCAGCACGGCGGCCAGGAGTCATTGGCATTGCTGCAACAGGAACAGAACTACATAGCTGCCAGCCAGCTGCCGAAGGTGCACAGCGATGGCTCAATGCCAGACGCGAACGCGGGCGTCTCCAGAAATCCCTCAACAGCGGGCCGGCACGAGAAGAAGATCGGCCATCGGCGCGTGGCCGAGGGCGGCGAGGTGACCTATAAGAAGATACAGTCGAAGCAGATTATGGGCTCCATACAGCTGGGCATACAGCATACGGTGGGCAGCCTGGCCAACAAGCCGAAGCGAGATCTGCTGATGAACGATTTCTGGGAGATGGAAACAATCGCCTTTCCGCCCGACGGCTCCTCGCTGACGCCCGCCCACCATTATAGCGACTTTCGCTTCAAGGTTTATGCTCCGATCGCCTTTCGCTACTTCCGCGATCTGTTCAACATCGAACCGGATGACTTCCTGATGTCGATGTGCGCCTCGCCCATGCGCGAGCTGTCCAATCCGGGCGCCTCGGGCTCCATATTCTATTTGACCGACGACGATGAGTTCATCATCAAGACGGTGCAGAAGAAGGAGTGCGAATTCCTGCAGAAACTGTTGCCCGGCTACTACATGAATCTCTCCCAGAATCCGCGCACGCTGCTGCCCAAGTTCTTCGGGCTCTACTGCTTCCATTACAACTCGAAGAACGTGCGGCTGGTGGCCATGAACAATCTGCTGCCATCGGACATCAAGATGCATGCGAAATACGATTTGAAGGGTTCCACATTCAGGCGAAAGGCGTCCAAGGCGGAGAGGCAGAAGGCGAGTCCGACGTACAAGGATCTGGACTTTGCCGAGCATCATCCGAATGGCATCTTCCTAGAGACCGATACCTATACGGCGCTGATGAACACCATCAAGCGGGATTGCATGGTCCTGGAGAGCTTTCAAATAATGGACTACTCGCTCCTGGTGGGCATACACAATCTGGACCTGGCGGCCAAGGAGAAGAAGGAGGAGCGTATACGCAACGCGAGAGCCAAACTGCAGCGCCGGGACTGCCCCGACGACGATGCACCCGAGGCCGATCAGGTGAACCAGCTGCAGCCGGTCTCGAGCTCGGCTTCCATACCGGGCACCTCGGCGGCCGGACTGAATCGGACGCGCAGCATGAATCGCCAACGTTTGGTGGCTCACTCCACGGCCATGGAGTCGATAACAGCCGACCTGGACGCGACGCTCGAGGAGGGCGTCGACGAGCCGAAGGGCGGCATTCCAGCACGCTCCGAGAACGACGAGCGCCTGATGCTCTACATCGGCATCATCGACATTCTGCAATCGTATCGATTGGAAAAGAAGCTGGAGCACACATTCAAGAGCATACTGTACAATGGCGACACGGTGTCCGTCTGCCGGCCGTCGTTCTATGCGAAGCGCTTCCAGGACGCCATGGGCAAGCAGGTGTTCAAGAAGACGCCCACATTTCCGCTCAAACATTCCCCCTCGAAGCGCAAGACGTCCGCCACGCAGCCGTTGCGCAGTCCGCTCAATCGAACCAACGTGTCGAATGCGCCCGGCAACAGCGGCAGCAGTCGGCCCACCGCTTTGACTCTGCTCTCCGGCATGTCGACGCCGCCGCCTGCCTTCGACGACATCTCCGAGGAGGACATCACGGCAGGCGCTTCGACGACAACGCTGCAGCAGCGGACTTCCTCGAATGCGCCACGCCTGCAGTCGCCCTATTCCTATGCCAGTTCGATGCGCAGCAGCGACTACAGCGACGACGATGAGATCGCGGCCGCGGACGCTGGTGCTAGCGATGCTCACGAACAGCAGCTGCGCAGCACTGGGCGTGGCAAGGATCTGCGGTTGATTGGCAACGGCAACGGCAATGGCAATGGCAATGGCAACGGCAACGGCAATGGCAATGGCAATGGCAACGGCAACGGCTTGGCCAACAACAATGTCTTAAGCGAACGCACTTTACACCTGACCAAAACGCTGGTGCAGGTGACCGCTGTGGGCTACGTCGAGCAGCCGCCGCCAGCCACGAACGCGCTCACCCAGCTGGAGGCAAATGGCAAGCCTGCCGCAGCAGCGACACAGCCCAGCTACACATCCACACTGATGCTGAAAGCGGCGCCGGATCTGTAGCCCAACTATATATATATATATATATATACGCTATATACCCATACCCATATGTACTGTATACCTGTAACCCCCACAACGATTGGTGCTGGCTTTCACTATATATATATATAGTACTATAAACCCTCCCCCTGCCCGCCCTCCCTCACCTGTCCCAACTGCCGCTCACTGTGCTCGTGTGGCAAGGCGCGTCGCTCGTTTATCTTGATTAAACAAATACCAAAAACGAATATGTATTCGATATTAAAATTTATGTGGCGCGCGTTTGTTAATTGACTGTGCCACACACTCCAACACACACACACAACACACACAACACACACGCACACTCAGCAATGGCATTGCCAAGCAAATCCCAATTTTCCTTTACAGTTTTCGTTTTTTTATAATTATTTTCTTCTTTAGCTTTTATTTTCTGTATTTTCTCCATATGTGTTTGTGTGATGCTATGCGCGTTTGTATTGTGTACAGCTGAGGAAGAAGAAGAACGATGCTAAAACAACAACAACAAGAAATACTTAAAGGAAATTATTTGACATTGTTTAACTCTGTATTTTTGTATTATAAAAATGCGTTTATCATGTATTCTAGGATGCTTTATTGTATATATAAATGTAAAACAAAAAATATTAAAAGAACAAAAAACAAATAAAATAATTAACAAAAATTGAGTGTTAATTGAGCTGGTTCTGATTGGACTTGGCCTGTCCCAATTGGAATCGGGCATTTTTAGTTAAATTTCTAAATAATTTTTCAATAATATTTCTAAATAATATCTCAGCTTTAAAATATTTAGTAAATAAACAAAATCATAGAAAATTAAATTTATAAGTCCAAAATTATTCTGAACATCCATAAAACCTTTAAAAGATCAACTTCGTCCTCAAGCTGCGATCCAGCTTTGCGGCATTTTATTTAGCTTTCATGCCACCTGTCTAGACTCTGAACACATTTATCACAATGCTCGATTTTAATTTTAGCAGCTGTTTCCCCTGCGCTATAAAACTCTGATATTATGTGCGTAATCCCTGTGCCGTAGCCGGACAATAACACGTAATATCCTTTACGTTCATTATTTGCCTTTTCAGGTGGGGAAAAACTTTGTTTTCCTATCTGTGCGCTGACCACTTTCAAAATGGGGTATTATGTGTGGCAAAGGTAGTAGAAAACTTGCCGGACACTTCATATATACTATATATATATGTTATCGATATATATCGATCTCTGTATATGTGAAATTGTCGATATCAAAAGTTATGAGAGCCGCACACATGTAAGACTATATAAAGCTCTTCTAATACATCTGCTTGAAATCATTGATAATAGTTATCGATTGTCATTTTCATGAAATCAATTAAAATCGATATCAAAATTCAGTTACTTGAGCACGATTCAAGAGTTTTGTATCTTGGCAAGGATATCTCCCAGTCGTGCACTCCCCATCTAGTGGCGCTCTTCTTCTGGCTGGCTTTATGCGCAGGAAAGTGCTTAAAGAGCGCTGACAAATATTAATCGCCCGATATACATATATCGTTGCTGCTCGCTCATTTGTATTGTCCGTCTCTCTCACTCTTTCCCACTCCCTCTCTCTCCCTCTCTCTCTACGCATAAATCACTTAATGATTGTCCATATTGGCATTAAGTACCGTTAATTTTTATCGCCTTGCTGCAAGCGCCGCGGCAATTGCGCAATATTTATTGCGCAAGCCTTCGTCCAGCGCGTTTCAACGCACTCCGACACGCCCCTTTCTGCGCCACGCCCCCAGCCGAAGCTTAACTTGTAAAGCTCTCCATTAATTAGTCGCCGCCAACATTTATTTTGCTCGTTTCATTTAAATGAAAATCAAAATAAATTTGTTTAAGTTTATTTTCCAAATAAATTTCAATAAAATCAATAAAAAATTATTAAAACAATTAATTTAATAGCTGCATTAAATGGTAAACAAATAGAAATATATAGCTAATAAAAATCGTTTAACAAATTGAACAAATGTGTAAACAGTGTAAATAGTTATCTGATGAGAAGTCGTGAATACACTGGGAGAAATTTTGGCTGAAGAAGAAACAAATGCGTGTCTGTTGTGGAGTGGTTGATTGAACTACTTATTAATTAGCGATGCTTAAATATTAAATATAAAAGAAAAACAAATACATATATTGATATACACTGGAAAAAAACGGGGCACTTTATGCGTGTTTAATCTCTTAACAAAGTTGTGCCAAAAAATATCTGAAATATTTATTTAAAAAGCTTTGAGTGGCTTGCAGCTTGAAATAATCTCTTAAATAAAATACTTGATAGACTAGAAAATACCCTTTTAAAAAACTTAAATTTTATTATTCATATTAAAATATGAATTTTGGTTAAAAGTTGTTAGCTTTTGATATCCTGTAAATTATAGCCCTATACATCTATACACTCTGTAGAGGGGATCTATAAAAAGATCGTCTGTAAATTGCACATACCCTGTAAGCCACATGTAATGCTCCTTACAATTTAAATACCCTGTAAACTAGCCTCAGCACTATGTCAACTATAAATACCCTATAAATAGTGAAGCTGAATCTACTATCGAAGCTGTCGTCATCGCAGCAAAAACTGCAAATACCCTGTAAGCTGAGCTCAACACTGCTAGGGCTGCAAATACCCTATAAAACGTTCAAGCAGTAAGCATGAGCACAAACAACTTTAGCATACAACAAAACCTAAAAAGTTTCATATGTCAATTCAAGGCATTTATTATCAATTTTTGCCACGCTGCAAGAAGCGTATTTTTTATGAAATATTTATTTTGGCATATTTTAATTGTTTGACTTTTTTCATAATTTTTTTTTGAGTATACAGAAGCCAAAAACAATTGCAAAGTTTTGTTGCGGCTTTATTATTATTCCATATGTATTTTAGCTGAAATATACTCTGTAAATATTTACGCAGATGAAACAAAAACGCCAAAAATAAAACAAAAATTGTCGAAAATGCATTTTCTGTTTGTTACATTGTAATTATGCCAAAAGCAGAAAACAAAACGGGGGAATAACAATAACCGAAAACCAGTTAACAGGAAAAGCATGCATAAATGCCCACACTGTATATTTATATATATATTCCATATATATCTTGCATATATATACGCTTGCTGTCAACCCCAACAATTTTTGTGGCATAATTACTTTAATTCATTTGCATAATATAGCGTAAATGGTTTTGGCCAACATTTGCATTTGCAACTTTGGTAACAGCAACAGAAGCAGAAACAGCTGCGCAGGCAAAAGTATGTGCCCAGAGCTAGGCTAATGAAGGACAGTGTAGGACGGTAGGACGACACGCCTGTCGCCTGGTCGCCTGCTGCCAAGCCATTTGGGCCATAAAATCTGCATAAATACCTGGCCACAATTTGGCATCACATCAATTACTTTGAAATTATAACACAATTATATATGTACCACATTTACTGTTGGCCAGCTAGAGATAGAGATGGAGAGAGAGAGGGAGGGAGAGAGGGCGAGGCATCTCGTGTTACTTTGACCTAAGCCTGTTTGTGCCATATGTCAAATGTCATTTTGATAACAGCAACTTTTGCATTAGAGATTGCCACTAAGAGCTAAGTTACCTCTCTCACTCCACCTGTCTCCCTCTTGCAGCTTAAATCTTAAGCAAATTTCTGGTTTGCAAATGGAAACATTTTTGAAGCACATTTTGACAGCAGAGGAAAGACTTAGACAATTTGCTTCACATGCAAAGCTTGACCTGATTCGATAGATGATATATATTCCTCATCTATATATATACATCTATATATTCCTACTATCATATGTTTTACATATTTAGCTTATATTGTTAAAATATTTATAGACAAATAGAAAAATTCTGTTTCAGCTTTTTCCATTTCACTTTGACTTTCGATTGCAATCAGTTGCTCAGCTGTGGGTAAATTTTACCTTTGTTAGCTGCTCTTAAATTGATTGTTAACTGACATTTCGGCTACAGTTCAACCAAATGCGCAAACGAACAAAGCGCACCTTGAAAGTCAAACATTCCATATTGATTAAAATAATGATTTGTGTCGCCTGCCGGAAATTTAATTTTTTGCTGTAACGGATATTATTATACGCATACACACACATATATATATATACATACGTATGTGTGTGTGTGTGTGTCTGGTTTGTTTATTTATTTACGTTGCGTGGGCGTTTGGGCTGTTGTATTTAAAACTCATTCCAGCCAGCTGGTCAGAAAGTTGCTGTTGACGTGGCCATGGCCGAAGCCTCGAGGTGGAAAATAAATTAAGCAGGCGTCAATTGCATTAAACTTAATCAAATTTAAAGCGCTGCCCGCAAATGAGGCAATTTTATTAATTGATTGACACACAGAACTGATTTGCATTTTCTCTCTCCCCACTCTCTCTCTCTCTCGCTGTGGCAGGCCATGGCATTTCAGCGCAGCTACAGCAAAGTCTGGTGGGGCTCCGATAGCCAACAGATGGGCAGCAGCAGCAGCAGCTTCACGGGCGGCGGCCTCTACTCTCACTACAATTACAACATCAATCCACAACAACAACAGCAGCTACAGCCCGCATCTCTGGAGCGTCATCTGGGCACACACGCTGGCAATTTGTCCAGCATCCAGGAGGTGGACGACGAACAGAACAGCTCGAAGCTCTCATGGCACAAGCATGACAGTCCTGGCAGTCTGCGCAGTCAGGTGCGTTATCTAAAGTAAAACAAGCAGCCAGCAGCCAAGTGGAGCGTGTTTCCAATCAAAGTTGAGCGTTTTGAAGTGGAACGTGTGGTAGTGGAACATATTAAAGTGAAACGTTGACTTATCGAATGCTTATACATAAAGCTAAATGTGTATTACATTTACTGTTCCAAAATTGTGTTTCATTTCAATCGTTCCACTTGCACCATTCATTGTTTATATTTGCTTTCTCTTTTATTTCTTCCATTTGCAACTAATACAACTAAACGAGCATTTTTACTGCGAAATAAGACTGTTCCATTCCAATGTTCCACTTTATATAAACGCTATTTGATCATTCATTTATTATAGCCTTTGTTTTTTCATTCAAATTCATGATTTTCACTTTTTAAATTTACTCAATTTTATGTTTCATTCCACCATTCCATTCTATATTGCATCCATTTGACTTGTATTAGAGTTCACATCAGTTTTTTTTCTTGTAAATCATGTTTCTCATTATTCTAAATCACTTAAATAAGTGTTTCATTCCAACATTCCCTTGTAAATTCCTCTTAAAAAGCTTATTTCTTTCTTCTTCTGGTGTCCCTTTTGGCTCTATAACAGATGTATTAAATTTGTAGCTTACAAAATGCTGTAAATATTATGTTCCATTCCATTGTATTCATGCCACATGCACCTTCATTATGCCACAACTCTAATAGCACACATCCTTGCACATTATAATAGAGCAACTAGCAAGTTTTTCGCTTATTATCTATGCCTGTTCCATATCATATCGTTCCCTTTTGTATTTCAAAGCTGCAAAGACGCCCCTCAGCAGTTATCCCAAAGCTAATATCTAAAATTGGTTTCCCCTTTTGTTAACGGTTGCAGGACTCGGGCTTCTCGGACAACGAGGAGCAGCACAATAGCCAGACGGCCTCAGCTGCGACAGCTGCCATGGCGACCACGCCCAGTGCCTCGCCCACATCGTTACGTTCGATAGCAACGCCGCCCACTGTCATACGCCGCGTGGGCAAATCGTCCTTCTACTCGCCGCTGGTCAGCGTAACGCGTCGCATATCCTTCAAGCAGCAACAGGACGAGAATGAGAATGGGAACGAGGACAACGATTTGGAGGCGAGTCGCAGTCGCTTGTTCGAGCAGCTGGATAGCCTGCAACTGGACGCAATGGACGATGTGGAGCAAGATAAGACAATGAGTCCAGCGACACCGCCGCGTCCAGCTGTGCGAAGACGCAAGCGACTGAGCAGAAGCAAATCAAAGGAGCAGGAACTCGAGCAGGAGCAGGAGCAGGAGCAGGAACTGGAGCTGGAGCAGGAGCCGGAGCAAGAACTGGGCGAGTTTATGTCGCCAGTGACACCACCGCCGCCCTACAACAACGAGACCATCTATCTGGGCGAGGCACCGCCGCCCTACAACAACGAAACAGTTACCTTCGGCGCACAGGAGTCGAATCTCGACGAGACACTCACGCTGAAGGACACCCTCAAATATGAGGCGCTCTCTCGCTTCACGGCGAGCACGAGTACGCCCAAAGCAGCACGCAGCAAGGGCAGCAAGCTCAAGCTGCAAGCGGTGCACAGCTGGCGCTCCGAGCAACGCTGGAACTGCGAGCCGGAGGTGATGTGCATGCTGCAGCACAAGTCCATTGCCCAGGAAGCGTACAAGAACTTTACGATCACCACCAGCGCCGTGGCCAAGCTGATGCGGCAGCTGCAGCAGCAGGCGCTGAACCTGCAAACGCACTTCGAGCGCTGCGAGCGTGTCCTGAGTGGGCAGCAGGCGACGACACTGCCAGAGGCCCTGGCTGGCGCCACACAGCTGCTGGTGCACCTGGACGAGTTCACCTGTGTGCTGGAGCGTCGCAGCATTTTCTTCAACGATGCGCGCGTCGAGCGCCGCCGCTACGAACAGCATCTCGAGCAAATACGCACAGTTAGCCGCGACACGCGCTACTCCTTGGAGAGGCAGCACTACATCAACCTGGAGTCGCTGCTGGACGATGTGCAGCTGCTGAAGAGGCACACGCTGATTACCTTGAGACTAATCTTCGAGCGCCTGGCCCGAATCTTGGTGCTGAGCATCGAGCAGAGCCGCTGCGACTTGCTCCTGAGAGCGAACATCAACATGATAGCGACTCTAATGAACATCGATTACGATGGCTTCGCCTCGCTCTCCGATGCCTTCGTGCAGAACGAAGCGGTGCGCGCTCTGCTCGTCATCGTGCTCGATCACAAGCTGAGCTCGGTGCGCGCCTTGGCTCTGAGGGCTCTGGCCACGCTCTGCTGTGCCCCGCAGGCCATTGCTCAGTTGGGCAATTGTGGCGGCATCGAAATCGTCAGGGACATACTCCAAGTGGGCCAGAGCCCGCTGGAACGCGGCGCTATCGAACGCCGCGAGGCCGTTTCTCTGCTCACCCAGATCACGGCCAGCTGGCATGGACCGGAGCATCGCGTCTCTGGACTGAGAGATTGCGCCGAGTCCCTAGTTGCGGGCCTGGCCGCTCTGCTCCAACCGGATTGCTGTGCTCAGACCCTGTTGCTCTGTGCTGCAGCGCTCAACAATCTCAGCCGAATGGAGGTCACCTCACACTATTCCATCATGTCCAATGAGGCCATCTTCAGGTTAATTTCGACGCTGGAGCATCAGAGCAGCGGCATCAGCGTCTTTCTCTATGTAAGTATATCTGATTCACAAGATAGGGCTGGCAGTTCAGCTGAGTCTGTGTCTGTGTGTTTGTGGGCGGAACTAGTCAGTGGAACCAGTAGGGGGAACCAGGTAGTGAATCTACTTGCCATTGCTTGGAACTAATGAGTGGTAGAGGTGGGTGAAGCTGATGAGTAGAACTAGTAAGTGGAACTAATAAATGGAACTAGTAAATGGAACTAGCAGGTGGAACCAGTAAGTCGAACTATTTAGTGGAACTCGTGGAACTAGTAAGTAGCACTAGTAATTGGAACTGGAGTGCAACTAGTAAGTGGAACTAGTAGATTGTATTATTAAATAGATCAAGTAAGTGGAGTTAGTAGATGGAACTAGTAAATGGAACTAGTAAGTGGAACTAGTAAGTGGAACTAGTAAGTGGAACAAGTAAGTGGAACTAGTAAGTTGAACTAGTAAGTGGAACTAGTAAGTGGAACTAGTAAGTGGAACTATTTAGTGGAACTAGTAATGGGAAATAGTAAGTGAAACTAGTAAGTGGAACTAGTAAATGGCACAAGTAGGACTATTAAATGGAACTAGTAAGCGGAACCAGAGTGGAACTATCAGTGGAACTAGTTCATAGAACTGGAATATAGCTTGAACTAGTAAATAAAACTGTAATGTGCAACTGGAAAGTGGAACTATTATAAGTAGGTGAAACAAACGTAGTGAACCAGTGTATGGAATCAGTTGTGAGCTACGTATAATCAGCTCCATTTGTCAGTTCATTTATCAATGCCAATCCAAATCCTTTTATTAGGTTCACATTTAACTTTCAACCACTTCATAAATTACGTCTGTTCCATTGCCATTGTTTCAATTGAAGCCTCTCTTGGAACTATTTAAATGTTTTTAAATTTCGGCATTCGTTCAGCCCTGGATTCGTTCGTTCAGTTCTTTTTTTGACCAATTTTATTGAAAGCTTTGCCTTGTAGAGAGCTCGTAAAATTTATTTGTGCATTTGCAAAGCAATTTTTTCACAATCTTGGCCACGATTTTTCATTTGCCTTTGCCCCAGAAAGTACACACACACACACACACACATAGACACCCACACACACATCTATACGGAACCAGATTGACTGCCCGCTGGTTGTAAGAATTTTCCTTCTTTTTTACGCTTTTTTCGCTCTGTGTTGCTCATCAACATTTTGTGTCCTTTTATCGTTTGAACACAGGAGCAAATCGTTGGGATGCTGCACAACATGTCGCTGAACAAGAAGTGCCACAGCCACTTGGCCAATGGCATCATCATAAATTTCATCACGTCCGTTTACCAAACGGAATTCTACAAGTCCTACGACTCACGTGCCGAATGCGATGCCCAGCGGCGTAGCATTAAGGCCATACTCTATACGCTGACACGCCTTGTCCAGCACTCGCATCAGCTGGGCGCCGAGCTGCTGGAGCAGTGGCATCTACCCGATCTGCTGCGACAATCTCTAACGGCAACAACAGCACCAGCAGCACATGGAACTGGCAGCAGCAGCTCCGCCCAGTTGGATCATAGCAACGGTTACAGTGGAGACATTTCGCAGCTGGCGCGACAATTGCTGCAAGCGCATCAGCAGGAGCAGCTGCTCCTTGGTGTGGGTGCAGCGCGAACGGGAGCAGGAGCGTTTAGAAGCAGCCACCAGACGCCCGAGGCTCAAGCCAGGACAACGCTGAAATTCAATTTAACACGTCAGGAGAGTTTTGTCTAGCCTTTTTTCACTCTAAATACCCATTACAAATGGCCAAAGCGGGTAGACTCGTTATGCCCATGTATATAGAACAGGCACTCACACAGAGCTACTAGGCTTAAAGACTATGTATAGCTGACTTCTGAAGCCATGAAGTCTTCAAGCTGAGCTTAGCTCTCACAAAGCTACGACTTTATTAGCTGAGCATAACTCGAGAAGTATAAGAGCTACAAAGCTGGCAATCGGTATGCTTCAACTTAGAAGCTTACTCTGTAATCTCAGTATGTTTAGCTAAGTTCTGCAAGCTTAAAGCTTAAGTTTTTATATATAACTTCTAGAAATTCCGTCGTTTTTCTAGCATAACTCGAGAATTCTAAGAGCTACAAAGTTCAAATTTGTTATGTAGCTACTTCTACAATATCTTTTTATTTAATGCTTTCTTTCCTTGAATATCTCCAGCCAACTGCTAGTCATGCACACCCGTCTAGCTTTCTTTGTGCTACTTTCTCCCAAATTTTGTTCTTTTGCTAGCTTGCACCATCAAACCACCTGAGTGGCTAGTCCGGAACACGTACATGGGTAGCCCGGACGTGCGTCAAGTGTTATTGCTTGTCTGGTCACTGCGTGACCCGCTTGCTGCCTTGTTCCTTCTATCTCTTTCTCTCTCTTTCGATCTGGCTATCTCTTTCTCACTTATGTCAAAATGCTTGTAAATGTAAACGAAGTAATTTTTATATTTTCGACCAAGCACCAAGGCATAAGAAATACAAATTGTTAGCTTTTTTTGTAGTTTTTTTGAGTTTTGGTACTTTGCCTTTTTGTGTCTTAGCAAAACTGCATTGTTGCCAACATCTCCCCCTCTCTCTCTCACCCACTATTTTTAATGTAAATGTCTAGCAATCTGTTTTGCCAGCTCATTGTAAATATTTTCATACGGCCCTAAGAGAAAAACCAAATTCTTTTGTATTTTTAGTCAATTTTGTGCCAAAAAAAGATAGAAAACAGAATTGCCAAGCCAATTCTATTGTACAGTTATATATAGTTATATATGTATATATATATATTTAATATTTAAATATAAATATATCTAAATATCTTAAGCAGCTAACTATAATATTTTCTATGTTAAGACAAAATATTTTCTTTATAAAGTTTTCGATTTCGAAAAACTTTTTCATAAATAAAAATTTACTGTGTAAACAAAAATATTAAACAAATTTGTTTTTATTTTCTTATGATTTTCAGCTTGTTAACATATATTGGAAAATAAGAGTTAGCCAATTTATTTAGCTTGAAAATCAGATAAATTTGCCAAAAATAAAGGCAAACAATATTTTTATTAAATTAAATTATTTATCAATAAAATAAATACAAAATATATTTTTTATGATTTTTATATTGAGATAGAGACAGCCTCTAATTTAATTTAATTTCTTAATTTCTTTATATTTAGCTTTAAAAGTAGCTAATTTAAAGCTTAAAATAAAACTTTAAATTTAAATTATATTTTAAAAAATTTTATTTTCATAATTTTATTATTTTATTTTATTGTCAATAAATTTTATTTTCTTTAGCCTCAAAAGTAGCTAAAAAGTCTAAAGAAAATAGCATTTATTTGTTGATATCAAATCAAGAATGTTATACTTCTCAGACAACCCTCGCACAGACTCATTAATAATTCATAAAAAATATATTTTCATTGACATAATTCAGCCTTAAGCTGCAGCTTCATTTGCTTTGCATACATGCCCTTTGCAATACTAGTCAAGCCACCCTCGCAGCCTGCACTACACTCACTTATTCTTATCAATATTGACTCGAGCAGCACAAAAAAATTACAATTTACATTTGGATATGTCGCCTTTGGCTAGATTTCCATGGCTCTTGGTCAGCACTCAAATCCATTAGCAAAGCAAAGAGATTGCAATAAGATCTGCGAAGTCCATATGCTATATGCCATATATATATATATATATATATATATATATATATATATATATATATATATCTGTCGCTGTGGTACAATGCAAATCAGAGCTTACACATGCACGGACCGTAGCTAAAAAAGATGAAGAAATTGACAAGAAGAAGATGCTGCGCAAAGTAGGAGAAGATGAAAAAAGGATAAACAAACTATTCGAAGTGAAAGCCCCAGCACACACGCACACACAGCCAGATAGACACTTTCAAAGCAGATTCCCACATAAATTCCTGCTGGCTAAGATGTCAAAAAGCGCGCCAGCCCATAAGCCAGGGGGCGTGGCAGGCGTGGGCAGTGGCAGGAAGCAAGCATAAACAAGTTCTTTAGAGTAGATTGAAGTTATTTAATGTGGGCATATTTTGCATGGCTGCACTGCAGCAGTGTGTGTGTGTGTGTATGAGCATCTTTTAGAAATATGCCACAAGCACACACACACAAGCACACACGCACACACACACACACACAGCCACATATATAGGGCAGAGTCTTGCGTCTTGTGATTTTTTTGCGTCAAAGTGTTGCGGCATTTGCTAGCTGTGTGCGTGTGTGTGTGTGTGTGCGTGTGTTTGTGTGTGTATGTGTGTGTGCGCTGTATTTAGTGTGGGCATATTATGACGAGTATGGCTGACATTTGCCAGCAGCAGAGGCAGCTGCTGTTTAAAGCGCCGACCCATTGACCTCGGCTCAGCGCTAAGCACGTTTATCGTGCGCAGCTTATCTAGGTACATATACAGACCCATACACACACACACATATATCTACGTATAGGTAGCACAACAAGAGGAAGAAGAAGAAGAAGAGTAGCAGCATAATGTTAGCTGCGTGCTGTTCTCATGATTTTTACAGCATTTGTTGGCGCTGCGACAGGAAATGCCTTTAGTGATTTCCGCATGGGGCACGACACATATTGTCTGTCTGTCTATGTGTGTGTGTGCGTGTGTGTTGTGTAATGTGTGTTTTCCGCTTTGCTTTTAACATGCCACACACACACAGCCACTGCGAGAGAGAGAGAGTTTAAAGCTTAAGCTCAAGCGCCATCAAAAATTCATGGCTAAAAATGTAAACAAGACAACGATTTGCATGACTGGGGCAAGGGGAACGCCTGGTGGCAGAGAGACAGAGAGAGAGAGAGAGAGAGTAAGGCAAATAGAGGCGCATAGCGCGATAATGGGCGTGGCTGCGTTCTAATTAAGGTGCCACTAAAGAGTCGGCGCTGCGAGCTGCTGGCGAAGGTTGCCAAATGAGCAAAAACGGCGCAAGTGGCAGCGGGATAAACGTGGCATAAGCGGGCGTCAACGACTGCAGAATACTCGCTCACAATACAGAAAATTGTAAGATTTAATTAAAATTACAAAATTTTCCCAAAGCCACGCCCCCAATGCGCGTTAAATTTAGGTTATAGAGGCAGCTGCACAACTTCTTGGTCAATTCGTAAGTCAGTTTGTGTAGGATTTGCCACGCCCCCTGGAGCGTATATATATATAATTATTTGACTCAAGTTGCAGCCAAATGTACTTTGCTCAAAAGCCAATATACTCTCCTTTGGCACCACTTGAACGGGCATATAAACCAAAAATAAACTAGTTACCAAGTTTCGGGTCTTATCAACAGCTAGAAAGCCGTTAAAAGTTGCAGCGAGCAGGTGCAACAACAACAACAACTCGAGCAACAATGGCAACAAGACATGCAACGCACTTGCTCTACACTTGCAACTGCCACACGAAATGCGAAAAGCAAAACAAAATCTATACAGGGAATACGCAAAGCGCAGCCCTATAAAAAGCAAACTATATCTGGCCAGCACATACAGCGAATAAAGCTGATCAGCTTTATTTTATTAGCTGCTTGCAACAAGCTGGAATGACACTTGTCTTAAGGGAATCTCTGTGCAAGGAGGGACGGCAACTGCTGCTGCTGCAGCAGCAGTTGTAATAATATAAATAATCGCATTTATGGCAGAGCTTGCTTCTGAACAGTTTTGCCTTTTATTAGGGGTATTCTTGCAGCAAGGCAGAGGGAAGAGCTGACAGGACGTAAGCCTCATAAGCATGGCAAACATATTTGAAGTTTTGTTAAGGGTTTCTGCTTGAGGTCTTTGCGGCTTTTCACTGCTTGAGGAACAACTATGGTAATCGATAACACCTACGAGACAGCAGATCGATGCAGAACGGAAATGCTTTATCTTTAGGGAAATACTTAAGAGATGTGAAAGCTACTTTTTCTTTAAGAACTTTTTGATTTTTAGTTTATTGTTTGCAATGCATATAATTTAAATAAAATAGTCGATAACATTAATTCGATAAAAAGTCAGCCAAATTGCAATTAGCAAAGTGCTTAAGGAGAAGCTGAGGAAATTTGGTGTCCTAAGTTCAGAATGGAACAGCCAAAAAACTTTAAAAAACTTTATCTGAGACTACTTTCTACTAACTATAAAATAAGAAACAATTTATTAAAAATAATATAGATTAACTTTATAAAAATTAATATAATTAACATTTTATATAAATATATATAAATTTATATAAATTTATATTTAAACGCAGCTTAGTTAAACCAATCAAGAAATTTATTTGCTTTGCTTGGCTTTTGCTTGCTTTTTTACTTTTCCCTGCTTTAAAGCTCATTATAATTTTATGCTAAAAATAGAACGATAATTTAGCAAGAGATTTATGAGAATTAAATATGTGTAAGTGCAGGAAAAGTTTTTTAAGCTGAAAAGGCTAGCAAAGTAACCCAAACATGGCTTTTATAACGGGCTACTTTTGCGCCTTTAAGATTTATGATTCTAAGGCTGCAACTGTATTAATCGATAACTTAAACTTAGCAGAATACCTAAAGTTATCGAAATTCTTAACAAAAATGTATAAAGAGTAGGGCTTCAGATAAAGACTTCAAATAAAAACTGAGATGAAAATGATCTTAAACAAATTCTTGAAATTTATTTTCAATTTCCTTTTTGATGATATACAAAAATGTATATCGATAACTTAAATGCAAGCAAATATATATGCCGGCCTGTTGGAGAAAAAGTTTTTTCTGCTCTTTCAGCAATTCAAAAAGAACATTTTTAGACCTATGAAATATTTCTTTATCTCCCTCTAGATTGAATTCTGCCACCAGTAAATTTCAGAACAATTATAAATTTCAGCTAAGCTGCATGTAAACAGCGTGTTGCCCCCTCCCCAACTACTTTAAGCCGGTATTAGCCATGTTTAGAGCAGCAAAAAGCCAGCTAAGTGGCAAAAATGATGACAAAGTCA